GCAGCGAGCCCTGTTCCAGGACAAACGGCCGGAGCCACCTGCGGCGCTGCCCCAAAAGGTCCGCCGCCAGGACCCAAACCACCAGGCCAACCAACAACCACCGTCACATTTGGGGCTGCACTTGCGGGACCCCCGCCTGGACCAAAAGCATCAGAGAGCCCTGTTCCAGGACAACAGCCACCACCAGTACCGGCACAGCAGGCACAAGCCGGCAATCCTTCTGATGCTGCTGGCCAACAAATTGCCAAGTTCATTGTGTCGCAACTCCGGCTTAGGGAAGTCTGCACTTCGGGCTCTTTTTGCAAAGGAGCTTCGAGAACTCGGTATGGTGGTTGACACAGGTTGATGCGTTGATTCCGTGCTGGTTCCTTGCCTGGCATCTGAGGCATGGAGGAGGAGTGATGAGCCGAGAAAGGCTAAAACTTTTCCTCCAGTTACTCGACTCTGGTCACTCTGGTCACATCGCAGTCTCCCTTTCTCTGTGAGGCGCGGCAGCACGCGCGCTCAGCTAAGGATACTTTTGAAGAAGCACAAAGGCAAGACTCGGCTAAGCTCTGGTCAACTCGATACCTTGCTCGACTCGTTCGTGGAAGAAAGGTCAACAGCAGCGTGGCAGGAATACCTTGCGGATGTTTTGCTTGCAATTCACAGGTCCCGGATTCAATTTTCCAACTGAGGCTGGCGATATTGAAGCGAGCGAGTTCGTAGAGTGGGCATGGAGCAGCCTGCCAGAACTGGTTCAGCTTCGGGACGACAGAAACTCATTGGTGTTGGCCCCAGGCGCTTAGCAGCACGGGACTGACCGCTGGCCCGCTGCAGACATGCCTCGGTCACACGGCAGTTGGTTCAAGTTTTGCCCAGCGAGATCGAGCGAGTCGCCCTTTCTGGTAGGCCACGGGCGCAGTGAGGTCAACAGGCTGGAGAGGAACGACAGGATGAACATAATAAGGATACAGCCGAGTGTTTGTTGCTGTAGAGCGTCTCAACGGAGTTCAGGTTTTCGGGTTTCCGCTGTCAGGAGCCTGGGCATGACTGCAGGGGCTGGCACGGTAGAATTGTTTTGTCGGAGGCTGCAAAGCAACTCAAAATGACAGCCGGAAGGGGGGATTTCTGATGGTTGTGAGGCATACGATCCCAGACATACTGCCACTGCGATAGTCAATAGCATTGGTGGGAGACATTCGCCGCCCACTAGCGCAGCGTCTACTTAGTACTACCTGTGAGGATCATGCAATGTACTGTTTCCTAGTCGGTCTAGGCCCAACACCATGCAGCCTAGGTTGTGGAAGGGCATGGATGCGGTTCTCCAGCGATCATGTTTGCAAGACCCATTGGGCCATCCGTTCCTCCCAAGACTTCAACAAACCCTGGCCAGCAGAAGTGCTGCGGGCCAGGGTTTCGTCCCCGCAGCTATAGCTGCTATGGCTTTTTTCCTGGCCCTTCTATGCCTTGCACCACTGTGCACTCTGCTCATGCTTGTCTGCTCTCCACCTGTAGCATGTTGAAGACCCGCTGACATGTTGCAGACCTGCAAGTGGACACTTTGACAAATTTCTCAGAAGATGCTTTCAACATTTGCATATGTGCAAGCTGGGATGATGACCAGCTCAGCAGGATTTGGAATTCAATCCCTCTAGCTCGCTCGTGTCCCTATGTGTGGCACGACAAGCCACAGTGCCTGTGACAGTGGCTGTTGCGATTTCCAAGACAGGTATGCCCACATGCCAGCAGTGGCGCAGACGGGCACTGTTTAAGCAGGGCCTCTCAAGGAGCCTTCGTCAAGTTTCACCCTCTAGCAGGCTTTGCAAAGCAAGGTCTTAGTCCAGGATACTCCAGATGTAATGATGCCGGGTCGGAGCTGGCCAGGAAGATGTCCTGGCAGCTGGGGTTAGTGCACGTGGAGGTAGATGCCGCGTCTCAGTGCCCACGGAATCTGGGCAATGATGATGTCGGAGAACATGTTCTTTACTTCCGACAGAGATGTTTAGCCATCCGGAGAAATCGGCCCGGGACAATCCTGTGGTTTTTCATGAACAGACTTTTCAGTGTGGGCTCAAGTCGTAGGGGGCGAAGTCCCAAGTGGGAAAGGCTAGTGCTAGCCTTCCAACTTGGTTGACCGACATGGCATTTGTCGGCTGCATATCTGCGGCAGCTGGAGTGGTGGTGGCCAAGCTCTGGACCGAAAGCGAAGCCAATGAAATGGACCAGCGGTTGGAAGAAGTCAAGCGACAGGCGCTGGAAAGGAGTCCGGCAGGAATAGATCCGGTAGTAGCTGTGCGCCATCTCATGGAAGCGTTGGACTGGAGTTTGGCAAATGCCGGACAGCATCGCTTGCAAAGTGCAAGCGACATTGTCAGGGAGTGCTTGAATTTACCATTGCGAGAAGAGGCAGAGACACAAGCTCTCGGTGACTCGCAACACGAAGAACTGGGACGCCATCTACGTAAAGTGCGACAATTGTGCTCTGCTCCAAGCCAGAAGAGAGCTCCGGAACTGCGTCCACAGGCGGGTGACGGTTTCGAGACCTGAGTCTTGTTTTTCCTTTCATGGGCTTGACCCTGAGGTGCACGCGAGGCGGACACGGGCTGCATCAAAAGGCAGCACTGGGAGTACGTACGATCCGGATCATGGAGGCACCATCCAGGACAAGCTTGGCCTTTGTGCCGCCCTATCTTATGTGGTTTATGAGTTTTTGAAATTGCAGCATGCTGCACGTGGCTGCCTGCAAGACACCCCTCGAAAGTCTCTGAGATTGGCTCTGTCGTCTCTAGCGCAGCATGCAGCATTTGCAAAAGGCAGGACGGGAGAGTGGATGGTACCCTGCAAAACGAAGGGCAAAGTGCATGCACACAGCTGGTGGCGGCAGTCCTCTTGTCCGGAGAAGGACTTTCGAACAGCGGCCGTGACCTTGATTTGTTTCTTAGATGCTGCGCTGTCATGGAGCCCGCTTGACGTCTTCGGATGGATGGGAAAACCTGAGGACGTTGAAGGATCCCTGCTTGCTCGACAGAGGGATAGATGCGTTTATCCAGTCTATGCCAGCAAGCTGCGCGCCTGTCTCAAGGCTGCATGTTCCGCATCGCCAAAATCTGCGGTGCGAATTGAATCGCATCTTGCTGCGATTAAGTCGCGAGACCTTCCGAAGCCTTGGGCGACAGCTTGGGTCAGCGTACAAGGTCGCGACTCGGAGCCCATGATATTCCGAAATAAGACAAAAGTCCCCTTGCGCCTTGAGCTTCACTCAAGTTCTCGAAGCCTGGCGTGGCCAATGTCGATTCTTCAGAGTCTCTGGTCCGGAGACCGATTGGTTTTAGCAGCCCATGTCCAGCCTGGAATCGAAAAAGCACTTCGTTTGAAGAACGAGCTTGGAAGCGAATTTCAGCTTCATTTGCTCACCGCTTCGGGCGTTCGAGTGTGCTCGCGTCGGCTGTGCCAAGGCGAAGCTTTCGATTTTCAGATTGACATTCCGACAAAGCCGGCGCAGCTTCGTACCTACATGATGTCAAAAACAAAGACGAGGCACGGCGAGATGAGTTCGGCATCGTGCACATCAAGGCGTCTCAGCCAAGCCAGCACAGCATCCACAGCTTCCTCGGGCACGTCATTTCCCATGGCCGCTCCTTCGTGGTCGCAGTCGACGATTCTAGAGTCGACAGAGTCGACACCGATGGTAGTGGATGGTTTCACGTCGTGCATATGTCCACGCTGTCTCGCACGCATGACGTACCAAATGGCACGGCCTCGTCTACCGACTTATGCAGGAGGTGTCAGTTGCGATCATTGCCAGATGCAGCTTCTAGGTGAGGAGGCTCTAGAAGCTAAGATGCAGACCTCGCCCAAAAGTTCATTTTGTCATTGCAACCGTTGTCAGTTTGATCTCTGCCGCCTGTGCGCATACAAAGAGATGCAGCAGGTCTGGTGGCAGCATCATTGATTATCTCCTGTCGAGCTGCCTGTACACCTCTTCCTGCTAGCAGCTGAAAGGCTAGCCCTGTCGAATCAAATGACGAGGCGGCAGAAAGCAAGAAGACTATGCCACCGCCCGTACGAGCCCCCTGTCATAGAAAGGCCATGCACTGTGTTTGAAGGTGCTTGCCGCCCTCTTTCATCGCAGGCCTGGCGCTCGCGGTTGGAGTGGATTTCCGGGATCAGGTTGCCACCAGCCGATGTTCCTACAAACTCCGTACACGCACGTGTGAGGGACATGCCAAACTCAGAAACCAAGAGGGAAAGTGTCGCCAACTTCGGCTCGAAAACGCAGACCGCGGTCTCTGCGCGATCTTGCACTATGGCGTTCCCCGGCTGAGAGTTCATGCTGTTCGATGTGGATTCGTAGGTAGGTAGATAAGCTATGATAAGCGAGCAGGTGGGCCGGTATGGTCGGGGCGCACTGGGCTTAGGGCGGGAGCACAGTCAGTGTGTGTGTGTGTCTGTGTGTCTGTGTGTCTGTGTGTCTGTGTGTCTCTGTCTCTGTGTGTGTGTGTGCGCGTGCGTACCCGGGGCCCGATCGCCGGTACAATTCCGTTGTTCGGAATCAGTTGCATCCAAACACCAAGTTACCTAGTTTTTCGTGTCATGCCAGGGTTTGTGCGCGGTTGTATACTGACATGTCCCCAAGTACAGTGATGCCGGTGTGAGACAACTGTTGCAAAAGTATGCGGAGTGTCGGCTCTGCATGCTGAGGTGTAGTCTCATGATGAAATTTGTTTGCACAGACGCATAAAGAAGACCAGCCTGCAAACGAGGCAAGCATGGTTGAAGGTGGCCTGGATCATCGTCGCAGGCCCCCTTGGTTGCTGTTGCTGAGTGGGCAGAGTGGTCCCATGAGAGTCCACGGATCGAATCGCCACGCACCTTTCAGGGAGATGCATGGCATCGGCTGCTTGGATGCAGACTTCTACGAGAAACGAACATTTCCAAGAGCTGCGTCGGGCGCATTTCGGAGAAGAGCGAAGGACCGACCTGTGCCTGCCAGTGATTCCGTGCTTGAGGCGACGCCCACACTTCGGGAAGCACTTCTTACAGAGGCGAAGCACAGGCTGCAAGATTGGCTGCTGTGCTGCATTACCTTGGCACGTGAATGCCATGCGGGGCCCTAGCCGTTGCAGCCCAGGTTCCTCAACAACGACTGGAGGCAGCATCCCCCGCCGGATGGTCGGCTGCTCGCTGTGTTCTATTGGATGATATTGGATGCGCCTTTGCATCGGCAAAGGCGCATGAAATCTCTTGCTGGAGCAGCTCCGGCTTTCTTGAAGCGGTGCTGCGGCATTTGTCTCCAAGGTTAGACTGGCCCAAGCGGGAAGATGGCATCCAGCTGCAGATCACGACCAATAATTATGTGTGCTGCTTGTCTTTGTTTTGGTTGGCACCAAGGGAAACTCAGCCTAGTAGCCGGCCTAGCCTAGGCGATGAAGAGTCGAGGATCGAACCCTGGGAGGCTTGCTCCAAAACCGGGCCGGATCCACTTTCTTGTGATTCGTCGCAGGGCATTCAGCTCGACAAGACACATCCACCTCCGCGCCCAGATGCGCCTTGGATTACTTCGTGGTCTGCTTATCCAATAAAGGCGCTTGAACACCAGGGTCTGCAGGCAATTCCGATCACCTTTGGCCGATTTGATGTGCAGCCTCTCACCTGCAACACTTCAGAAGTTCATGTAGTTGAGAATGTTGAGATGGATTGTTCGACGACATAGCTTCATGACACAGCACTCACGATGAAAGGATGCCTGTACGGTGTCTTGTTGACAGGAATGCAGAGGTTATCGATGTCTTCAACGCTCTTGCCGATACGAAGGGCGAGGACTCCACGGAAGCTGTTGACAAGCCTCTATCCTTCCATGTCCTGCGCAGATGCCACTCCGCTTCTCTTCCGCGAAAGCCAGTACCGGAGTTCGATTCTGATCTGATGCAGGCTGAATGGGACGATCTTTTGATGAACGGCCCGGGCGTCACGCCACTTGACACTCAAGTAGCGCGTGGCATGGTCACGAGTCGACATGGCCACGGGGTCTACAGACAGTGTCAGCGCTTGGACCACCACTGTTGAATCGTTTTTCCGCTGTCTGTCAGGTACTTGGGAGACTTCCCGAAAGAGTTCGCCCGGGCAGCTGCCGTTAGTTTTGTGGCACGCCCATTCCCAGACAGACAGGCAGCTTGGCTAAAACCGTCTGTCATGTGCTGGCCCACGCACGGCTGCCAGGCCGCAGCTACCAGTCTTTGGTGAGGAGCCGGATAAGTGTGTTTCTTTCTGAGGTCTTCCAGTGGATGGTGTACAACTCCACCCAGAACTATGATGACATGTGACGTGCCTGCATAGTTGGGGAGGGTCGGGAAGTGGACATCCTGCGCACCTGTGGAAGACAGTACGAACTGTGCTTTCTTGACGAGCCTTCCTTGATGGCCACAGCTTCGTCAGTGTTAAGGACGGTGGTGTACTCGACGCGAAGAAATGCCGTTCTTCACCAGCGCGGTGTAGAGGATGAAGGCATGCCAGTTTGCCGAAAAGAACGTTTTGGTTTGCGCATTTGATTGTTCCGCTTTGGTGTGTCACCGTGCCTGCAAAGATGTGTAACGATTGTGGTTCGGAGACCCACCCGGCTTGCAGAGGCTGGCCTGCCGTGCAGGCACAGAATTGCTTAGGGTTCCTTGGCTGTTTCGTTTGACTGCTTCGGGACAAACGTCGGCAGCTTCAACCTGCGTTCCGGCATGAGATCAGCTAAGGGCTTATCACGTGATGGCCTTGCCACAAGGTGGTTGTCACGCTCATTGGCCGCATTGACTGTCAGTCCTTCTTTGATCCACGGCCGCCCAAAATGGGCAAGCTTGGCATGAGGTGGTATTCACGACCATGGTCAACTCACACCCGCCGTGGCCCATCACGGCACAGTTTCCCGGCTGACTAGGTCGTAGGTGTGTTCCGTCACCTTTAACACTTCCAGTGACATTGGAGCAGTGCGGACCTCACAGCAAACCTGACAGGACCGGCCCCGGACCCGGGCCAAAACGGGCGGGGTGGGGCAAGCCGGCCAGGCCCCCGCAGCCCGGAGCTGTGAGGTTTTCTGTCAGGTTTCCGCCGCCCCCGAAAGGTTGGTGAGGTTTCTTGTGAGGTTTGCCCAGCCCGGGTTCAGCCCGGCCCCAGCGCCCTGGCCCGGGCCTGGCGGCCGTTTAGGTGTATGTTGCGGGGATTTTTCACAACGGCAGCCCGGCTAAACCCGCCTCTGAGGTTTGCTGCTGTCAGGTTTCGGACCAGCCCCAAATTCACCCCAAACAAGCAGCAGCAGCAGCCCAAGCCGGAAGTCGCCCCGAACAAGCAGCCGACCAGCCGGAACGTGTTGGTGATCCTCACAAGAAACCTCGCAAACTAACCAACAACCCATGCTTCTCGCTCCGATTTCTCACAGGGTTTCTAACAGGAAATCTCACAAACTTACCGACAAAGCATTCGGCTCCTCACAAGAAACCTCGCAAGTTCACTCACAAGCATCCTTACAAGACACATGACAGAAAAAACACATTGATTGAAATCCAATGATTCCAGGCAACATAAAGTCATAAACCTAGGCTGCCACACACCAAGAGTTGCAATCTGTGACTGAGATCAAAGCAACAGCTAGCCGCTAGCTCGCTGCTACACTGAGTATTCCTGCAGCAGCCAGGGAACCATGGAGTTGCGGAACTGCTTTCTCCATGTCTGAAAGCAAGAGTTGTCTGACAAGCTCGCATTGTAGCTGAGCTGTTCAATCTGTGACTGAGATCAATTCAACAGCTAGCCGCTAGCTCGCTGCTACACTGAGTATTCCTGCAGCAGCCAGGGACCATGGAGTTGCGGAACTGCTTTCTCCATGTCTGAAAGCAAGAGGTGTCTGACAAGCTCGCATTGTAGCTGAGCTGTTGCTGTTGTGGTCAGCGCCTTGCCATGTGTTCTGCCAGCCACCAGTGACGATCAGCACACAAAGACCAAACATGTTTGGAAGAACGGCTTGCTGGGCTGGATTCACACCTGAACATGTCCGAGCAAAGGTTCGTATTCAACATCGCATGGACAAAAACAGCCGAGTACATCGAGGCCACGATGTGTTCTGCATGCATGTTGCCTGTTTGACCTTGGGTCACAGAAGAACTGTCTCTCGATGGCAGAAACTCCGAGCACGTGCCCAGCTGCTGAAACGGAGGTGCGAGTGATGGGCGCAAGTTCATTTAGTCTTGCCTTTGAGCAGCAGCCAGTATTTTGCCACGCACCAATCGTTCAAGACAGAGGCGTCTCGCTGCAAACACACCTGCCAGTCCGGCTTCGGAGCTGCACCAAGCGGGGGATCCTTTCGCACATCGAATTATTAGCATATATAAATACAATGATGCAAAAACGAATGCGAATACAACCATACATTAACGAAAATACATGTGTAAATGTGTATATATATATACACACATATACATGCTTAAAGTCACTTGTCTGTATTTATGTGTTCATCTACTCGTATGTGTATGTATGTGTGTATGCATGAGTGCATGGATGGATGATGGATGTATGTGCGTGTACCTATGTATGTACGTACGTATGTATGTGTGTGTATGTGTGTTGTGTGTGTGTGTGCGCGTGTAAGTGTGTGTGTACGATGTACGCATCCATGGATGGCAATGGGTTTTCAGCACCCACCCTCTCCACCCTTGGCGTATTTATTTATAAGTGAGACATATGGGTCGTCGCTCGCTGGCGGGCGACTGGCCGGGAGGCAGAATGCGCCCACCGGCGCCGTACAGCCCTGAACCGGCGAATGCGACGGACCTGGCGCGATGGGCTTCCTTCCATCCAAAAAGAAGGGTCCTGCTTCGTCGTGCCGTTTTGGTCATTTCGTCGGGTGTTGAACTTGTCTGTGTGTATGTCTGTATGTCTGTATGTATGAATGAATGAACGAATGAATGAATGAATGTATACACCTGACTTCGTCGAGCGCGAGAGCAAAAACATGCATGAATGAATGAATGAATGCATGCATGCATGCATGCATGTATGTATGTATGTATGTATGTATGTATGTGTGTAGACGTGTATATATATGTATCGATGTGTATGTGTAGATGACAGGTGTTTATGTACGGCTGTATAGCTCTGTATGTATAGACATGGGTGTTACGGTTCGGTTCGGGACGGTTGGCGTTGGCTGCGGTATGTTTCGGGGAAAGGCTTGTCGGTGCAGTGCGGTTCGGTACTGCCACCCACCT